ACGGGTTTGCTTTTCGAAAGCGTTGTAAAAGCGTGAATCACGGGTACGTGGGACGGAGCCGGAGTTAATCGAGCACGGTGTTATCGACCTCTTAAAAGTGTCCTCTCGAATCGTCCTTCGCTTTTAACCTTTTCCGGCTTAACGAGCTTAACGGGTTCGCCGGTGCGGTTTGTGCTGGTTAACGAGTACGTACAGTTTCTTATTAAATGTGGCTTCTTTGTGAAACGTGGGGGACACGTGACAAAGGATCGTTGATCTCTTGGATGTCTGCGTGCTTGAAATTTTATTGAACAACGTGCTCGCGCGAATGACGGTGGTTTTAGGCTTCGCCTAAGTTCGGAGGGGTCTTCGTGAGAATGAGAATTTTAGAGAATTGACGGGGGGTGAACGAACTCGAATCGAAGGGAGCATTGAACACGTTTGCTATTGTAGTTCCGAGCCATTGAGTTTTCAAATGTTCAAACGTTCAAATGCTCAAACGTTTAGGCATTCAAACGTTCAAACACTCAAACTTTGAAATACTTAAACACTCAAACGTTCAAACACTCAAATGCTCAATTGTTCAAACACTCAAATGTTCAAATGTTCAAACACTCAAACATTCAAAGATTCAAACATTCAAACACTAAAACGCCCAAACGCTCAAACGTTCAAACACTTAACGCTCCAACGCTCAATCGTTCAAACGTTCAAACACTTAACGCTCCAACGCTCAATCGTTCAAACGTTCAAACACTTAACGCTCCAACGCTCAATCGTTTAAACATTCAAATGCTCAAGTGCTCAAATGCTCAAATGTTCAAACATTCAAACACTTAACGCTCAAACGCTCAAACGTTCAAACATTCAAACACTCAAACGCTCAAACGCTCAAATGCTCAAATGCTCAAGCGTTCAAACTTCAAACGTTCAAATTCCCGAGTCCGAACATTTCCGAATTCGCTACAGAAAAAAGGATCGCGCCGTTACAGGACGAAAACAGCACGTGATCGCGGTGCTCCGTAAGGCGTCCGCGGTGTCGGCCGGTATAAACAAAGAAACGCGCGCGCAGCGGACGCGTCGTGTAACGCCGCGCATCGATTTTCCTTCACGCCAGCCTGTCACACGACGCGAGAGCGTGGGCTCCACGGGTGTGTACACGATTGCACGGTACACCGCATCGACCGGCGAACCGTAAGACGCCGTCAGAGGATGCCAGAAATATTTGCCGAAATCCTCGGCCCGCGATCAATGGCCGCTCACCCCTTCCCCCCGCGTCTCCTTTGAACGGACAGCTGGAAATCGGTTTTTGCATCACGCGAGAGAGAAAGAGTTACCGTGATACACGAAAACGAACAAAAATAATAACAGCAATAGCAGACGCGAGCATCCTGATAACAGTGATACCGAAAACAAGTTTAATTAGAAGGAACCTAAACGAAACTTCTCTTCTGTCCATTTCAATCATTAACTTATAGATAATATCTCAGAATATTCTAAAGTAGTAGCAATAAATTTCTTCTATAACTACGATACAAAAGAAACATACCAAAACTACAGCTGAAAAGAAGGTAACGGGGGTATTAGAACAAAGTAACAAACACAAAGGAATCTAAAGTCCTCGGAGCATCCTAAAATAGTAGCACTAAATTTATCGTCTATAACTATGATACAAAAGAAACATATCAAAACTACAGCTGAAAAGAAGGTAACAAACACAAGGAAATCTAAAGTCCTCGGAACATCCTAAAATAGCAGCAATAAATTTATCGTCCATAACTACGATACAAAAGAAACATACCAAAACTACAGCTGAAAAGAAGGTAACGGTGGTATCAGAACAAAGTAACAAACACAAAGGAATCCGAAGTACTCGTGAAGTCCAGCGAAGACAACTTCGCCCAGTCTTCAGGATCTCCTCGAACCTGCTCCCCCGAAACGACTGATGTAACCGTAAGCGCCTGGCTGGCCACCCATGAATCACACAACCCTGTCTGTTCTGGTTTCAGGCGAACGCGGCGATGGTGTTCCAATGCACTTGGCCAGGCTGCTCGGAGATCAAAGCGACCGTGCCGCTTATCGAGGAACACGTGCGCCAATCACACTTGGGGTAAGTCGTCGTTCGGCCGTCGCGGATGTGTCCCGCGGACGTCGAGCCCGGCGACGCGAGGCGTGCAACAAGTCTCGCGAAAATCCGTGGACCCCGCGACGCCGGGAGGCGGCGCGTATCGTGACCGGTTGCAAGGCCGCGGCGCGATTAACCTTGAACCGGCTGATAAGATAAATTCCGTCGTCGTGCCGATGAATATTAAGTTCCGCGCTCGCTCGGATCCGTAAACAAACGTACTCCCGCGGTCGTTCTCGTTCGACGGACGCCTTTTTCCCCCCTTCTCCTCAATGACCTGCTCAGATAGCAACCGGTCATCTGCGCAATAAAGCTAAGTGTCCGTTCGAAAGTAAAACCATCGCGAGTCGCGCCCGGTACTTTTCGCAAATGGATACGTTTGACGACGCGTACTTCGGTTCTCGTTTTATATTCGCTACAGGTTTCCCTTTGAAGCTTAAGTCGATTGCTAACCGAGACCTAGTCCGGCGCGGAGCGAGTTCCAAATGAGCTCGTCGGCCGAATCGATCGACTTTGCAATGTAAACGTGAGAAACTCGGAAAACGTGGATTTCACCGGTGAACCGCTGAAACGTTTGTTTCGGATACTCGGCAAAAATTGGGAATAGGCCGGACGCGTAGCGTACGTTGAAAGTCATCATCGTCAATCTTACCGCCTTCAAGACAGTATCCGCTCGCGAGAAATACTCCCGGCCACTCGCGATGATTTTATTCTCAACCGAGCATACCGTAAGTAGAGTCCGGTGCGTTTTTCGCAGGCCGAAAAAGTCGAAGGGTCAGGATAACGAGGAGGACGATTACATGTCCGACCACGAGGAGGAGTTCTATTATCAAGAAGTCGCCGTGGATCACATGAGCTCGCCGCCGACGTTGTCCCACCGGGACATGGCGAGGCCGCCCCACGAAGACCCCGAGTACCAGAAGCAGCTTCGCCTGGAGGCTGCCTCGGCCACGAACAGCAACACCGAGAACGTGTTGGTGGGAATCAGGGAACGGAACGCCGCGTTCACCATTTCGCAATCGCCGGTACGCACGATGAATAACGTTACCCTTGGCTGGCCGCGGCCGATGTTAACGAAATATAGCAAGGTATGGCTAGCGGGACTTGAAACAGAGGTGTACACGCGGCCACGGACATTCTGCGGGCCTGGTCTAGCATGAATCCCCCGTGCGAATCGAGATTTACACGAAATTTCGTTGCAGTATCCCTTGAATAATGTATGCTTCCTCGGCGGACGCTTTCAGAGTCGAACGGTTAATTCCCGAGTAGCTTCCCCGTGACTCGAAGTTCCTCGAGGAAATCTAGAGACGCGAGAGATAAAGATCGATTTTCTGTAATACCTTAAGATAATTAATTAATTTTTGAAGCACCGTTTGTAGAGGAAGCTAAATTGTATTCCAAAGAGAAATGAAACCGAGTTTGATACGTTCAGTCGAACAGTGTCAACGAATTCAAGGTACCCTTCTGTTTTCAGTACCGCTGGCTCTGGTATCTCATTAATTAATTGCTAACAGTGGCGTCGGCGCTGCGAGTCCTATAATAATCTCCGCAATTCCGTTTGTTTCCGGTGAAGCAGGGCACACCGATCAAGCACATAAAGCTGTCGCCCCGGCCGTTCCAGACGTACCAGCAGAACATGGGCCTGCTGACGGTGTCCGCGAGCAAGATGCCGTCGTCGCCGCGGCGAGTGCGCGGCGAGACGAAGAAGTGCCGTAAGGTGTACGGCATGGAGCACCGGGAGCTGTGGTGCACGCAATGCAAATGGAAGAAGGCCTGCAGCCGTTTCGGCGACTAGGCCAAGCGGCCGCCCCGTTCGTACGTTCGCGGGCGGAGATTGTCGCCGAGCCGACCCCAGAGTTTGCCAATGCTACGCTAACCAAGAAAAACCAACTGGAACGCTAAACGACAAAACGAAAAGAATCTAACAAAGAACTTCTCACCAACTGCCAATTGCCAATTGCCGATCGTCGTCGTCGTCATCGTCATCTTCATCGACGTCGTCATCGTCGTCGTCGTCGTCGTCGTCGTCGTGGTCGTCGTCGTCGTTGCCGTAACCGATCGTGTATCTATTCGAGCAACGTTGCGAGAGCGAGATCGTGGCCAAAGACCGATCAACGACGGTCGATGGTCGCGGCAATATAGATTAATCCCTGTTCATCGTCCACCATCTTCCACGTAAAACGGTCTCCGTTCGTCCGACGTAAAGGAACGGCAGACGGACAAACCGTGAGCCGCGACGTCGCGGGGGCGGGTTTCGCGATCACCGATCCGCTCCCCGTTCTTCTTATTGTTCACCGTCGTCCCGTGGAAACGCGTGAATCCCCCATCCGACTGAGGAAAACAGCGAAGATGGTCGACGAGAAGCGCGGTCGTGTCTCGCGGCGAGGAATACGTCAATCCCATGACGGATGGCGGACGGTTAGAAAGGGACGCCCCCCCGAACAGAACGATCCTTCGCTTCGCGCGGCGGAACGATCGTCGACGCTCTGCCGCCCGGTCATCGACGAGACGAGGCTCGAGGAGGCGTGCTGACGCTGCCTCTTCGTCTCGGTGAAGGATAGACACCGGTGATCGTTTCTCTCCGAGGAACGGCCGAGCAACGATCGCTCGTTCTCTCTGGCACTTGGCAAACTCCGCTTGGGGTCCTGTCTCTTTGTTTTTTCCCGTTGTTTTCTAGCCGTAAACGGGGAGAGGCGAGAAGATTGCGAGGAGGAAGCGGGAGGACTTCGAATTAGTAGATAGCGAATAATCGCCGGCGCGGAACGAGGCGTTTCTTAGACTGTCGCGCTTTCTCTGTTTGTTATGGACACAGGCAAACACGGACACACATATACATACACGTGGAACACACTTTCTCTTCGTCCCTCACGGTCGTGGACTCTCCTCGTCTGAATTTCGGTCCTCTGTCTGTGAACCGATAGGCGGCGAGGGCGCGGAAACACAGCCTCGTTCCACCTCCGGACAAACGTTCCCGCCGGAAACGAACAGAAGAAAATGTCTGATTTCTGTGCGTGCTTTTCTTTCTTCTTTCGTTTTTCGGTCTTCGGGTATGCGACGGGGACACGCGCGATTCGTTCGCCTCGAGCGCGATACGCGCTGATGAGATGGTTCAGCTGTCGGTTAACGCTACACAGATGCAACGGGAACCTAAGGATTCGCGGATACGGAAGTTTAACGTCATTCTCTACCGTTGCGTATCACTGTATCGGATCTTGTTTCTTTCACTTCCCTTAATTCAGTTTCAACTAATAACGGCAGAGCATCAGAACAGCGTTACTGTCGCTAACTTCTCGATCGAGTATCGCGAGTGGGCAGTTCCTTTTGTCGTGTAGCGTTAATTGCCTTACCTTCTCAAAGGCGTATTAATATCTAAACGATTACACTGATCGCGTATCTAGACGAAGTACCGTCTTGGCTAACTCACCGCGCGACAGCAATGAAACATGCGTGCAGATTCCTAAGAATGCATGCATAGCGACCTTCAGTTCGTCTAAATAGGCATCCAGTGTAAAGACAAGCTAAGACTCGATGCAGAGAGAGATTCGTTGTCAGTGTTACTTTCTGTCGTTTACCATCGTTCTCTGTCACATTCGTCGCGGCGTCGATGTCGTTGCAGTGACAGGATGCAATATCAGAAAGATGTTAACGAAACGTTTGCATTGGGCCTGACGCTTAGACGCGGGTCCCCGGACGGTGCCAGTCCCCGAACCGACTCTTAGGTCATTGCAATAGGTCTTCCTTCGTCCGACGAGAGAGCGTCGCCGCAACGAACGGGCGCCGCTCTCCCCGTCAGTCCCCGAGGTCGCAGCGAGACGGGCGAGACGGACGGGACCGTGTCCCGGACGAATGGAACGAAAAGAATAAATGAAAAAAAGGAAGGGAAGGAAGGAAAGAAGGATCGAACGCCGCCGCGCGCGTTCCAGGTATACAAATACGGTTCAACCGACGTTTCTTTCCCGGACGACGCGGGCGGGGCGAGCTTCTGAACGAATTAGGAAATATTTTGCGTCGAGAGCAGAGCTAATTGTGATATTTTTCTCTAAATTTTATCGGATATTAACAAAAAACGAAAACGACAAAAAAAATTGAAGAAGAAGAAGAAGAAGAAGAAGGAATGACACGAGACGATGATAATCGTGAGCCGAACTCGAGGCTGAAGGG